TCACTCAGATGGTTTGCAGAGAGGACAGCCAGGCCTGATTCAGTATGAGCTCTGCACCTCCACCCACCTTCTTCCCATCAAGAGCTGAGCAGATCCCCAGATGAAAAGACCTCCCTCATCTCCTGAAAACAGAGAGAGAGAAAGAGAGAGCAAGCCCTACTGTGGAAGTAGAGAGCACAACCATGAAACAGCCTGACTGTGGCTAATGCAGGAGCACCTCCTGGTGTTTCAAAGCCAGAGAACAGGGAGATTTAATGGAAGATACAGCAGTAAATATATATATACAGGCACACTTGTTTAGAGGGAGAGAAGTTAAGGACAGCATATTGGCTTTGATCTCAGTGATGCATGTATTTATTACTGAGTTCTGCATAATTTTGTCTCATAGAACAAAGATCAGCATTCTGTGAAGCCTGTTTTATCTTGTACTGTCATCTGTTCTCTTATATTCACTGACCTTCTTGCCTGTAATAAATCTATTAAATCTCCTTTCTTCAATCTCATAAAATAACAGATTTTTCAATTTACAAAAAAAAACGTTTTGAGATACAGCATGTCAACAGGGGAAAAAGATACCTTTGAGGCAATAAAACAGGGAAGTTTAAGAATGTGGATGTTTGTAGGGGAACAGGGGATTAGAAAAAGAGATTGGCAACACAGAGGAGTTTACCATGAAAATAAATGGAGATTATCAAGAAAGTATAGAGTACATACCAGAAGCTGTTTTACACATTCTCATGTGCAACACAGTAGCACAAGAAGTGAATGCTTTACTGGTGTTTTGTTATTATTGCTGGTACACTGGGGATTGACAGAGAATGTTTTAAGAGCTAAGCAGTGTGGATGACCAGTTGTCAGGGCAAAACTGCTGAGTCTGTGGTTACCCCTTACATGCCTCCAAACTATGTGATTAGAAAGGCATGGGTTTTAGAGGAATCTCATTTTGAAAACATACTCACTGTGTGCTGGACATGAACACATATCAAAAGAAATATCCATTAAATATTATGTTCGTGGGTGTGTGTAGACATGTGTGCATGTGTAGATATATTTAACTATTTGTCTTGTTTTGGACTAAACAGATAAGGTATAGATTTCTGATGTTGCTCTGAGACTTGAATTTCACATATTTTAGCCATAAAAACTCATTCAATGTGACCTTTTACTTTTAAATATTCTCATGCTGATTTCCAGCAGATCATACCCTCTAGGGGGCAGTTTGTACCACAGGTGAAAATTCTGAAACATAATGATGGTCACTGAGGTGAAATTATTTCTAGATGTATTTGGTTAAAGAAGTGAACACATATTGCTTTCACGAGAGAGGGAAAACTCAGAAAACTCATCTGGAATAATGGTCTGTAGAAACTAGCCCAGACTAGCAAACCAGAATTGAAAACAACCTTGTGATTGCTAAGTGTTTCAGAGGCAATGAGTGAAGAAGGAAAAAAATTAGGTAGGGTGCTGTTTTCCAGCTAAAATTGCGTGCCTCTGACTTCCTTGCAGAAGTATAACAATGAATATTAATGTGTCTAGGAGCACAGAATAAAAAGCAACACGAGAAATGAATAATCAAGAAGAAAAAAGCAGTGTGGTTTAGCTGTTTAATGAGGTCAGGGTGACTGGGGAGAGGGAAGGAATTAACCCCATCACAGTATTTGCTGTTATTATAAGGAGCTATACAAGCAATTCCATAACTGATGTAGCCCTCACTTTACAGCAGCTGTTTTTCACAGTGGTTATATAACATTGCATGTAGGAAATGCTACCTCTTTCTCTCATGCTTCTTTGGCCTGCTGTTCTACATTTGTATGTATCACCTGGTCTTGTGACAGAGTGACAGACCACAGTCAGCCATCAAGCTTCCTATTCCAGTTGGAATATGTGTTGCACGTTCTCAGTGCAACAGAAACATTTTCAAGATTAGACCTTTTGATGACATTTGACAGCTGGAGAACAGTGATGGTTTGCAGTTTGGGTATGTGCAGACGTCCAATAATGTAGTTCTTAGTATTTTCAAGTTCACATGGCCCCACTGAAACCTGTGGGAGGATGGTATTTTATGTTTATGGAAAACCTATCTCACTGATTCTGACTTCTGGTTTTAAATCTACCATATTGAATTTTGTTCCACTTCCATGATTCTGGCAAAAAAAAACCCCAAGGATCACAAATAGTGTATGTTTGTAGTTTCCTGTTTCTTTTTTTTT